ATCACTGTTTTTTTTTAATTTGGGGTTTTAGAGAATAGCCTTTTTGTATATTTTATATTTTTGTGTAAGCTATCATAGCAAGTAGTTACGATTGGTACAATTTCATGGTCTCAGTTAAAACCTAATAGTGAAAACTAGGTTTGCAACTTTTATAACCCTAGTTATTTTATAATATGTATTGGTTAATCTGTTATGTTTTAATTGTTCTAGCCCTATCCCCTAACCCTGTTTATTAAGAGTTCCTCATTGAGATTAAACGGTGCCCCTGTCGTGAGAGCAGCTAGTCAGGGTTTAAAAAGTCAGGACTGGATTAAGCAAGTAATTAAAAGTAAGTAATTTCAAACGTACTCAGAGTAAACATGAGATTAGAAAAGGTGAAAGAGAAAGGTGGTGGTATTATAAAATATTCAGTGGGAGTGGTCGTATCATGTGAAAATTTAGAAGTAAGTTTAATGTATTTGTAGCATCTCCAGGTCATGGCCTACTTAAATACATAAAAACTGAATATGAAGGTGCACATATTCATCAATATTAAGATTGCATAGTAGGCATATAGTCACAATAAGTCCATATTCTGCATGACCACACTCAGTCAGTAAACAAGCAATTATTGCTTTGGTTTTTTGTTTTGGTTTTTTTATTGTTTTTTTTATGACCTTGTAAAGTATCAGTACCAGAAGAGTCATTCTCCCTTGTTAACACCTATAGCAGCTGATACACTGTATAGTAGAAATGGTGCTATTGAAAAGCACTTTGAGTGCACTGTTAGATTAGAAAAGTGCTATATAAGTGCTATATAATACTCTCAGTGAAAACAAAATACTTCATGCATGCACTCGATGTACAGTTCATTGCTAGCTTTTGATATTTTGGGGGGTGTGTGGTTTGATGATCTTATGCAGATATTTTGAAATAATGAGATGAGAGAGCCAGCCCAACAGACCAGCCTTTGTCACTGAAGCATCAAGCACACTGTACCTACTACTTAGTAATACTTTGTTTAAACACATGCCATGTCCCTCTCTAGCCGTAGTAAGGTAGAAGAAAGGCTACAATTAATGTGCGAAGGGATTCTGGTGACACTAAACTGTGTAAGCTGACAAAGCAGAATTCCAGCTAAGTTATAAATAACACAGAAGAAGACTGGCTTCACTACACCAGGCTGTGATTACTAGTCCACCTTCTCTTCCCCTCTGTTTGAAAATCTCTTAAGTGCTCCATTACTACAGGGCGTAGTTCCTCTTGTGCTGACTTTTTTCCACTACCAGTGAACTGGAATAGAACCTGTGGATCTTAGTAGCATCTGCCAAATGCAGCAGTTATATACAGGGATGGGAATCACAGTACAGTATGATACTTTTACAACAACAGTGATGTTCTATTGCTTATACAAAGCATATATAGCTCAAGACAATCATCTGCAATCTGTGTAACTGAAGAAGAAAAATCGGGAATTATCGGGTGTCAGTATGTGGGCATTTCATTATTATGCACTTTTAACATGTCAGTTCAATTAATTAGCTCCCTGATTGGCTTTTTCCTGCTGTTTGCCATTATCCCCTGTTTCTTGTTCTTCTGTGAGTTTCTTCTTCATTAATGCAAGTTCGTGACCTTGCATATCAAAAAATGACACAACCAGAAAAATATTCTTTCTTTTAAGTTGAGTTGATGCAATATGAAATGATACTGTATTGCACTGTTTCCCTCCTATCTTGATGTCATTGTGTCAGCTTTGGCCTCCATGCATTCATCCACCATCTGCTCTACTCTGAAAGTCTCTGCCTTCAAACTTTACACACACAGAACTCAATGAGTTGAACCTTGATGGCCTCTAAGAGTTGGACGCTCCACTATGACCATCTGAGTTCCATTTGAAGTCTTTTACAAACCCTAGAAACAACTTGTCACAAACCCAAACCCCATTTCAGAATGGCTATATTGGCAACAACCACTCAATGAGAATAAAACATCTCCAGAATTATTCCCAAGGACATGGAGTAGTGACCTTCCTGGTAAATATGGTTGAAGCCCAAAAGTCATCTGCCTGGTCGAAACTGACATATGATGGCAATGTCACTAGACTAGAAGTCAGACCGTCTCTTAAGAAGCAAATAATACAACTCAGATTATTTCAAAGAATGAATTAAATGAAATTATCTTTGTTCTGCTTTTTTTGACACGGTGACAACTAATATTGCCGGTACATGATTATGAACAAATTAGTGTTACTGGAGACTGTTTTAAAAAATAAGCAAATTAATACTATGAAGCTATTTACAGTTTTGTGAATTAACTCAGTAGGATAAGCACAGGATTTAGAAGCAAAAGGTCGCAGGGTTTGAGTTAATCTCAAGTTAGAATGTTTTTTTCATCCTGTTTTGTCTATTGAGAAATTGTTTACATTTCGTTTATTTTTTATTCTAATTAATAAAAAGATATAAAATAAATCTTGAACACAAATGTTCTCAAGACGGACTTCTAGGTCTCGTTGAAGATATACTTCGAACTGACTAGATGTCAAGAAAAAACCATCAGCTGATGCTTATCCAATACTGCAATGTTTGCTGGACTAGGATATTTTTCAAAATATATAAAAACCCAAACACACACTTTTCCGACTTTCCTATCGGAACACATTAACCCTGGAGTTGCTCCCTTGTTCCAACATCTGACTCCCAAGGTAACTAAAATGTGATGTATTGTACTTTGCTTTCAGGGGTTAACTGGAAGACGAATTGTTGTATTTGAACTTCTGGGATCAATAACTCAGAAAAAACCTTATTCAAACACCAACAGCACTTCCTTTCAGTCACGTTAAGCAGACAACAAGCTAGAAGGTTATTTGCATCCAGACACATCATTTTCCAACCTGGACAAATAATGCTGGTAGAAGTTGGCTATGAGTCATATGAATATGGAAGATCTTCAAGATGCAACAACAGAACAAAATTACTCGAGCATTCACACTTCTGAATAATATAGACTGTTTTAAGAACATTATTTTATAATTTTCAGCTGATGCAATGAACATTTAATAGTATTTCTGCTTAAGCCTCTTTTGTTTGACCGTGTTATTACAAATAGCTTAGTTAGCTTTACTCAAAGAGATTTGTACTCTCAGACATTTAACAAAAAAAGAGAAATTACCTCTTGTTGCATAAACTCAAGCAAAAATTAAACATAATCCATAATCCTATGATGTATTTGTTGTACATAGCTTCTAGCAGAAATAGTTCATCTGTGAGATTCTTGCAACATCTGGAAAGAAACACCACTTTTCTTGCCTCAGTCTAGTGGCAGAAAAGTCAATTGTCAAAGTAATCACTGAGTCACTGGTATTGATCAGTACCCGCTCACACTTATACACCCTCCTCTCTCCAGATAAATAGTGACAGTTTTCTAATACTATACAGTGAAATGAAACACTTTCTTGTCCTTCTCAGTAGACTCAATCAAGATCACCATTATGTCATTATGACATCTGTGTTGATGCTGTACATGTACAGCAGTCCCTGCCTGACCTGACTCTGACTGCTGCACTTGTCTGTGTTGTTATAAAGAAAGAAAGCACATGGGCTCAGGAGCCATCAGCTCTAATAAAGATCCTAATGGTTGCACCTGCACATGTGGTGGGCTGTGAAATGTAGCTGAGGAGAGGTGTTGGTCTGGAAACACAATGTCCGCCATTCAGTTCGATGCCGGAGTCCTTAAAATCTGTCGCCGGCAGCCGGGTGACACGGTGCCACTCATTTTGCAGTACAATTTGGGTCAGCGTTGGCTGATATTTTAAGATACAATAGCCTGAAGTGACTTCCCGGCATGTGCACGTGTCAAAAAAAATGGCATCAGCCCATGAATTAGCAAATCCAATCAGAGTTTCGTGATAGCAGTCTGATCAGAGGGGCCCTCATGGGAGGACACTGCTAACTGTGGCTTCTGTGGTTAACAAGCACAATGAGAAAGGGTTTCTTTTTGCAGATAAAAGAGGGCTTCAATGGAAAAATGTATTTCCTTTACCGTGCCTGGATTGTACAGTATCTGGACTATTGACTGGAAACTCATGGCTGCTGCTTTAATCCATCCTCTAAGTGAGTCAGTGTCTGAGGATGAGGATTGTTGGAAACAGGAGCAGGAAGCTGTATTATGTTGGAGGGTTTTCTTTTTTCACACCCAGGCTTCTGTGTATGTGGGGTGCTGGCAGTGTGTGAGATAAAGCTGTTTTAGTGCTTACAGGAAATCCAACCCATCCATCTGACCATCGCATAATGGACTTGAAGGGGGGGGGCTACAGGAACTAAGGATATTTGATCAAAATGATCATGTGCAGTCCTGTGCCATTATATAGAGTGTATAAAATACTGAATGGTGAAATAAGTTTTTAAGCTCTTAGATTTATGGGTTACACTTAGTACATAGTGCAGCCTGTCTTATGATGCAGGTTCCCCAAACTTACAATGCAATTCTTTATTTACTGTTAAGGTATTTTAGACAAAAGTGCAAACACGTTGTATACTTCTTACAAGAAGTACTTGTGGTATAATTTGGTTTGTCTGTCTGTTAAAACGATCAGTTGTTACTGCATTGTTCTACCATATGAACCAAGAAGCAAAAACATGCATTGAAAATCACACCCTAAATTCAGAAAAAATACATAGAAAAAGTACACGGTTGGGTTTTTTTGTTTTAACAAAAGCATTGAAATAAATACTATAGAGTAAAAGGTACAATATTTGAATCCAAAATATAGTGGACAACAAAGCAGCATAAGAGAAATACTTAAAGTACATTAAAACTGTTAAGTTTTACAGTAAAGTACTTGGTAAAATCCACTATATTACATGCAACACAGCAGTACTCTCGCTCAGCAGCTTTGTTGGGAGGCAGGAACATTTGGGGGGTACAGGTACCACCCCATGACCCCCTTCTGTATATGCCCCTGGCACTGAGGCAGAGGCAGGACTGCTGTGGATTAAGGGTTCATGAAGTGCGACTCCACTCACCATGTTGACTTCTGACACCATGTCTATGCTGGCCACGTCTATGCTCATGCCAACAGCGACAGGGGGCCCTAGAACAGAGTAATTATGTCATGATTACAGACCTCCACCTCTACGTCTGACCACAACACTGTAAATGGCGCCAAAAATAAAGCTGGGGGATAAATGCGGAGCATACCTCCAAAGTCCGGCCTCAGTCGGATGTCGTATCCTTTAAGTAGTTTATCCACCGTCTCCTTCACAAAAGACATGTTGCCCGGTTCATTGACGCTGAAATGACAGCAGAAGCAAAGAAAAGAAAACATCACCTTGACTCCCGCATCAATCAGCCCAGGCAATAACCTTGGCTTCTCAGAAAAGAAAGAAGAAGAAAATAATGAGAAGATCACTGACCTTTTTGCGCAACACACAATCGAACCGATAACCAGTGCGGACAAGACGCGAAATTGACGAAGCTTGTGCAAAGCAAACATCCCCCCTTTTCCTTTTTGTAATTGTAAAGCACGAAGGCAGCAACAGCAGAGAGCTCACCCCCCTGCAATCAACAGCCGAGACGGACACTCTTCAAATCCAGAGTAAATCCATCGATTGCCCCCCCAAAAAAGCAAGAAAGTAGACTGAGCCGCGGAAAAGTCAGCAGCTCGCTGTGGATGGAGTCAGATGTGAAATATGGGCTGACATCGCCTCCCTGTCATAAATATTGGCTCCGCTTTCCTTTTTGCCGTCTCTGACTGTGCGAGTGGCTCTTACATTCAGGAGCTGAAGCGCATATTGATGAGGAGAGAACATACAGGGGGGCGATGCTGCTGCTGCTGCTGGTGGCGGCGCTGGTGGTGAAGGCACTCGGCTTGTTCAAATTAGAAGCGAAGCCCCAACACTTAAAACACTGTAAAAAAAATGCTGAGGTAGAATCTGCAAATTCAAGCTTTTCATCTTATATATTTGGTGAGCTGTTAAACTCTTTTTCTTTTCTTTTTTAGGGAATCCTTTTAAACCAGACTTTTGTTAAAGTCCACTTATTTCTGCTAATAAACCTTGTGTCTATTTTTGGCCCTAGAATTTATCAGCAGGGGCGCATTTGCGGTTTCTTTTTTTGTTTGTATTTTTGTTTGTTTGTTTTTTGAGGAAGGTAAAGATATATATTTTTTTAAATTTAACAAATAAACATCAAGTTGCTTGAAAACGGGGCCAGGGGGGCAGTTGAGCAAGTGAATAATAATTCAACTTTATGTTTACATGTTAATGTATGCATTCAGCAATAAATAAAGTGGCTGACTTGTAACCATATGGCAGTCGCACTTACTCAGAGTCATTGAGTAATGATAAAAAAAAATTATGGTTGATTCTGCTACAGAATGTGGGGATTCCATTTTGTCATGGCTGTGCCTACTTTAAATGGATCTGCCTTTTTAACAGGTTTCTTCCTGTTAGAAAGGAGTTTTTCTTCCCACTGTCCCCAAGTGCTTGCTCAAAGAGGGGTTTGTCGGGGTTTCTCTCTATTACATAGGGTCTTTACTTTACAATATAAAGGACACTGAGGTGACTTTTGTTGTGATTTGGGCTATTTGAAAGACATTGAACTGAAGTAAAAATACACATGTTGTTTAGTTAAGCTTGTTTCCACTGATTACTTATCTTCACTTCCTCGATTACCTCAGTAATCAGTGGACTTGATTTTTAGAACACTAATTAAGCCGTTGCCCCACCCCTTCTCCCACTCTCAAAAACACCCACATTACAAAGCACTAAGCCAAACTCTCTTATTAAAATTCTCATTTTTTACAGTGCACCCCACACCATCTTCATCCTTCCCTTGGGTTTCCTGTAAAAATGGCGGGACCTGAACAATATGGAGTGGGGACAGGCAGCATTTATCAAACCATTAATCGAAGCTGTTGATTTATTGGCCTGTTATCTGTTGATGGCCCTTTTGTGTCTGATTTAAAATGTGTGGACTGCACCATAAATTATTTAGAGAGTCGGGGTCAAAAATTCGTGAACAGGCTAATTAGGACCGCCTGCACACGCGGACGCGCTTGCACAAGACCCAGTGGAGGAGCCTGGATGAGGAATGCGCGTGCTGTGATAGTTCATACCTGGTGTCATAGATGGCGATCAGCTTCTTGTTTCCGTTAACAGCATTCCTGAAAGAAGAAAGTTGATGACATCATTAATTAGAAAATAACAGGAAGACACTGAAAATGAACTTCTTTCCTCCCGTTTGCAGCTTCATGTTTCCCCGAATTTAATTGTGGTTATAAGTTTATTATTCATTATTATTATTATCATCACTGGTGTCTTATGCGTGTTTGAGCCTGTCTGATGTGTTGTGTGACTGTGCTCTGCATAGCCTCGTATTCCACCCAGTATTGCCTGCAGTAACGCAGAGGTCTGAAACAGTGGGATGCCTGCAGGGCAAAATATTGAAAGCCAGTCGATTTCCCCCTGGAGCCCCCTCCAGGATAAAAAACATCTCACAACACCTCCCCCAACCCTTATCTTCCTACCACAGAGAGAGGTGGTGGTGAGTTTGGGGGGGGCTTTTTCGCCATCACTTTCATTCACACTCGTCCAAACGGTCAACACTCCGCGAGCTTGTTCGCACCAGGCGCGGTGCTGAAATCACCCTCCGAGGGTATTCTGGCTGCAGCTCCCGTCCGCAGACTGCACCGCCAGACGGATTCAAGAAAGTAGAGGGAGGTTAAGTTTACCAGCTAATTATCGTCTACGAAACATGGAACTCGGCTACCCTCTTATGGCAATCGTCAGGATGATAACTACTCTGACGTGTTTCTTGCGAGCGCTTGTTTTAGTGGCTCAGGGTTAAACAAGCCGACCGAATGCTGTTTCTCTCACAGTGATTTGCCCCCAGTCTGTGTTGTCATGCGGGTCGCAGACTCTTCACACATATGGACACACAAGTCATTTCACTTCGTTACTCATAGTTACTGTCACGAATAATGACACATTTTATAACTTGGAATGGGTGAACAGTGGAAACAGTGTCAAACATAAGGCCAGGGGGCCAGAATCGGCCAGGCAAAGACTCCATCCGGTCAACTGGACAGCTCAAATGTGAAGAAGTGTCTACAGGGAGTATTAGGCAAGTTGTATTTTTGAGGAATAATTTTATTATTGAACAACAACCATGTTCTCAATGAACCCAAAAAAACTCATTAATATCAAAGCTGAATGTTTTTGGAAGTAGTTTTTAGTTTGTTTTTAGTTTTAGCTATTTTAAGGGGATATCTGTGTGTGCAGGTGACTATTACTGTGCATAATTATTAGGCAACTTAACAAAAAACAAATATATACCCATTTCAATTATTTATTTTTACCAGTGAAACCAATATAACATCTCCACATTCACAAATATACATTTCTGACATTCAAAAACAAAACAAAAACAAATCAGCGACCAATATAGCCACCTTTCTTTGCAAGGACACTCAAAAGCCTGCCATCCATGGATTCTGTCAGTGTTTTGATCTGTTCACCATCAACATTGCGTGCAGCAGCAACCACAGCCTCCCAGACACTGTTCAGAGAGGTGTACTGTTTTCCCTCCTTGTAAATCTCACATTTGATGATGGACCACAGGTTCTCAATGGGGTTCAGATCAGGTGAACAAGGAGGCCATGTCATTAGTTTTTCTTCTTTTATACCCTTTCTTGCCAGCCACGCTGTGGGGTACTTGGACGCGTGTGATGGAGCATTGTCCTGCATGAAAATCATGTTTTTCTTGAAGGATGCAGACTTCTTCCTGTACCACTGCTTGAAGAAGGTGTCTTCCAGAAACTGGCAGTAGGACTGGGAGTTGAGCTTGACTCCATCCTCAACCCGAAAAGGCCGCACAAGCTCATCTTTGATGATACCAGCCCAAACCAGTACTCCACCTCCACCTTGCTGGCGTCTGAGTCGGACTGGAGCTCTCTGCCCTTTACCAATCCAGCCACGGGCCCATCCATCTGGCCCATCAAGACTCACTCTCATTTCATCAGTCCATAAAACCTTAGAAAAACCAGTCTTGAGATATTTCTTGGCCCAGTCTTGACGTTTCAGCTTGTGTGTCTTGTTCAGTGGTGGTCGTCTTTCAGCCTTTTTTACCTTGGCCATGTCTCTGAGTATTGCACACCTTGTGCTTTTGGGCACTCCAGTGATGTTGCAGCTCTGAAATATGGCCAAACTGGTGGCAAGTGGCATCTTGGCAGCTGCACGCTTGACTTTTCTCAGTTCATGGGCAGTTATTTTGCGCCTTGGTTTTTCCACACGCTTCTTGCGACCCTGTTGACTATTTTGAATGAAACGCTTGATTGTTTGATGATCACGCTTCAGAAGCTTTGCAATTTTGAGACTGCTGCATCCCTCTGCAAGATATCTCACTATTTTTGACTTTTCTGAGCCTGTCAAGTCCTTCTTTTGACCCATTTTGCCAAAGGAAAGCACGTTGCCTAATAATTATGCACACCTGATATAGGGTGTTGATGTCATTAGACCACACCCCTTCTCATTACAGAGATGCACATCACCTAATATGCTTAATTGGTAGTAGGCTTTCGAGCCTATACAGCTTGGAGTAAGACAACATGCATGAAGAGGATGATGTGGACAAAATACTCATTTGCCTAATAATTCTGCACTCCCTGTAATGAAAGTTGTACAGTTTACAATTACAGGACAGTATGAGCAATGAAAGCTCTTTCTGTAATTATACACATTTATCATGTTGTTTTACTTGTCCGGCCAACCTAATAAACCAATTATTGATTTTTCAAAACCTGACTTTATTTCAAAACCCAGTAGAACTTTGTCTCTTTTGCTTTATCTATAATAAACAGAATAGCTACAGCAACTATAAATACAAATATGTTGGGATAGCAAGTGAACTAACTATAAGGCACAACTTAAACTGTTAAATAGTCTTATAGGTGGATGAAATGAAAGGGTTAAAAGAGTGGACAGTGGAGGTGGCACAAATCCAACCAACAAACAAATTATTTTTAAATACAGATAATAAAAATCCCCAAAACAATCTCTGCAATAGTAACAAGTTATTAATTAAGCTGTTTTAGTGAAATATTTGTAAGTATTGATAACACACAGCTAGCATAACAAAAATAGGCTAAGAGTCCAAATTGCAGTCTAAAAATACATGTATAAAATTGTTACTATTAGCTAGAAGGATCAGCTGTTAGCTAATGGCTACATATAGTAGTTCAAACAAATAGGCTATTTAGAAAGATTGACTAAACTACTGAAATCAGGCACTTCTTCATAAGAAATAGCAAAAGCTAAAGAGGCCAAATTAAAATCCTGGTTAAAGGATTTCATTAGTGTGCTGCTACTGTGTGACGTTTCAGGTGCAAAAGTCCGTGGAAGTAGTTTGAGCTCCCATATATTGCATGCTTCTTTCACATCCTCATTAATGGATGATGTGGAATTCTGCGCATCCTCCTTCCAGCCCACCAATGGGGAGCACCTATTTGGTAATTATTAGCCTCTGTTGCGGCACTTCATTCTCTCGCACCGGCAGTAGGCGATACAGGAAAGGGCACAGAGACAAGAAAAATGTGGAGCGAATCCGGTCTCCTCCGAGGTCGGTGGACACCAGCGAAGAGGCACCCAGTGTGATGCTGCTGCTGCAACACCTCTGGAGGCGATGCGGGAAACGCGGCGCAGCAGGCACTAAAGAATAAGCGAGGCGGTCAAGCCTATAGGAGGAGCAGAGCAGACAGACTACTACAACAGCTGCTGATGGGGAAGCGCTGATTGAAGGAGAGAGAGAGAGAGAGAGAGAGAGAGAGAGAGAGAGCGAGCAGAAAGAAGCTAAAGAGAAGGAGGAGGGGAGAGAGAGCCGACCAGCACGGGAATTTAGTGATTGGACCCGCGATCTTCCAGTTTCGCCGACTGGAGACCCCAAAGCCTCCTGTCGCTGTTTGGAAAGAAAGCAACAAAAACCAAACCTTGCTGGTCATGGATCCTCGTGCAGGTTAGCCCCTATTTTTCCTCCCGTTACCTCTCTGTTTTTTCCTTCTGATGAGACAAATAAGTGTGAGTTTCATGGGTTTTTTTCGGTGATGGGGAGAGTGAGGGAAAGGTGGAGAAGAGGGATGGGATAATAGGGGGTGGCCCGTTTATTGTAATAGGCTGGATTGGAACGCAGTGGAAGCTTTTACACAATGGGACTGATACTGCAGGAAACATGCCTCTCTATGAGCCTCTTTTATTTACCAGCCTATGTGGTGTTTTTGAGCATGCCGAGTTGTTTTTTTCTTTCTTTCCTTATTGGAATTTTTACCAAAAAATTAATTAGTTATTCTTGTTTAATATTAAATAGTTGCACCTTGCACCCCCTCACCCCCCGCCAAATGACCCAGAGATTGTCCCGCTGCTTGATTTAGTGTTTGCTGTAATGCTCTCTGTATGCAGTGAGGTGAAGACTTTTCCCGTGTCTGGCCTTATGGGGAATCCTTGACCTCAGTGTTGTTTCTGTGTTATTTATTGATTCTGTGATGCCCTTTTTATTCTGTTCTTTGTCTCCTTCTGGGTGTGTGTGTAGCTCTCAACAGTAAAGTGACGGCAAGGCTCCTCGTTTCTCTCCTGCTTCTTTGCAGATGTCAAAACAGGTAAAGAGATTTAATAATAATAATAATAATAATAATAATAATAATAATAATAATAATAATAAAGTTTAACAGTTATATATAGCTTTTTTCCCCAAAAAGTAAATGGACACTAAAGGTACTTTTTCTAATTACTCAACACCTTCCAGCATGCTGAGATGTTTCCGGTTGTGCCATTTGTAAATACCAATGTGCAGACCGATAGAATGATACCAACGCTTGTATTGGTATCTGATCGATAGTAGTGGGATAGGATCGATACTTTGCTTCTGTTCTCTAAGTTCAGTATCTAACCCACTGAATTGTGTCAAATTAATTACTTTTTGGAAATGGAAAAATATACCTCAACCATCTCTTATTGCGACTTGACTGTCATGTCTAGTTTTTTATGATCTATAGAACAGAAGTTTACTGAAAGTGCATCAGGGACAGGCACATTTATGTTCCCGGTCTCCAAAAAACCCGGTTTTAAAATACATGAAAAGCTGAAAAGTGTGTTTTTCTGTATTAACTCTTTATTT